TATTAATGGGAACAATGGAAGCTTAAAGAAGTTAAATATATACCCAGTGTGACATACTGGTGTGTCTAAGAATTAACATTGAATTCAGATATTCACAACTATCATTTCTATATGCCTTTATGTTAACTTGTAATATAGCTAGGAAGACATAGAATAAACACGATTCAGCAGCAAAGGGGAGCTGTCCATGCTACTGCAAATTGAAAAGTACCATGATACTTGATTTGGAGTTCAAAGAGCAGGGACAATCAGAATACCCCTGGGAAAAAGTAGGAATGAAACTGGGTCTTGAAGAACACAAGCCAGAGGCTGGTGCTTCGGAGGAATGGGAGTGAGTGCAAACCTACAAAAGGTATTTTTAGAGGCAATGAGTAGAGAAGTCCTACTGGAGCAGAAGGTTCATACTTTACAGAATGACACTCTGTATGACAACCTCCAGTGAGGCAGCCGGCACACGACGCCAAGACTGAGACACAGAAATGTGCTATATGTTGCTGGGACATAACAGATTTTATAACAGACTTTATTCCTGTGATAATGTTGCTTAAAACCTAGAGAGTAAGAGAGAAAGAGAAGAGTAGCATCTGGCTAAGCTCATAACATAGAAAACTTAGAATGGTGAAAAAAGTTTCAAATTCTGAGTTACACGATAAAAAGATGTTAAAAGTAAATCAAGATATGCTATAAAATTAAGCATCTAAACAGAATGGATAGGAGCATTTATAAGGAAGAACACAGAATTTACAGAGAAATCCTTATTATTTGAATAATAAGAAGCATAATTTAAGGTAATAGACGTGGACAATATTTTTACAGAAGGGCAACATTAAGAAAGACACTAAAAAAGGGCAAAATGCAAAATCATCTCAAGAAAGAAAATATAATGGCTACAATCTGGATTTTGTAAACTACATATGATTTTGAAGCAGACATGATCACGTATCAACTGGTTAAAAGATATTCATTATGGTGACTTGATAGCCAAGTATTACTGATCACCAAGTCTTGAAACAAAATTGTGCTAGCTTTCATAATCACCTGTATGAAAGATGGCTATGACAAAAAGAAGGTACTGAAAACTAGGTCCTATATTGATTTTCATTCCTAGCCATGATTTGTATCCCAGCACTATGAAATAGGTGCTGCCTATTCCATGCAGTCCCAGGGTGCTCTGAAGGTGAATCATTTCCTGTTCTGGTCTTTTGCATCACATACAATCTTTGTCAACTGATTACCTGAGACGTGCTGGACAGAAAAGATAGTTTCCCATTTTTAAAAGTATTCTGAAAAAAAAATGTCCACAGTATGTTCTACAAACTGACTATCAAATGTTCATCACTATTGGAAAATTCTTCCTTTTTACTAAATTCTTCATGAAAAAGTCTAAATTCATCCATTCTTCATTCTCAGTACAAAGGGATGTGAGCTATTTGAGGTCTGTGGGTTAAGAGCAGATGTGGAAAGTACTTCTGGGAGCTACAGTTCAGCTTTCTCTTCTCCCACAGAGAAACAATCCTTACTGCTTTAACCTCTCCTGCCAACTTATTACATTATTTGCTTTCCCCACTTAATACCTAGGAAATGTTATGCCCCTTTTACCTTCCTCCAAACACCTACTGGATCCTCTAACATCGTCATCATTGTGGGTCTGGCTAGTGAAAGGCGAGTGAGTCATGCCTTTGGGATCTCAAGGGGTAGCTTGTAAGGAAATTTTCATGCAAGATCAGGGTAGAACTGAGACACACAGCAGTTACAGAGAACAAACAAGAGCAACTCACACCAGCAACTTCCCAGCCTCATCTTGAACAATCCCAGTTTAGAAGGGTTGGGTGTAGCACCCAAGTCAGAGAATCATCACAAACTGGCTGATTGCTTCATCCAAATGGACTGAGGTCAAGCAATCTTTGTCCTTCCATGTCCTTGTGCTCTCAGCTCTTCCTCATAACTGAGTGACTGAGAGGCAGGAGCAGATCACTCAATTTGGATCCTGGATCCTAGGTAAAGAGATAGAAAGCCTTGGTTGCCTCTTGTATAAAATAAAGATCATGAAATGCGCTTCAAAGACTTGTGATTATTAAACCACATGTGATAATGAATGTAAATTTTTCAGGGCTTACAAAAGAGTGCAGGCAGTATTCTCAATGTCTCTTGATAGTTGCAGAATCTAAAACCAAACATACGGTTTTGACATTGACCTAAGAACTTTAGCATCCTTTATTTCCAAGGTTCCTATTTACAAAACACAACATTCTGGTGATGTCTGCTATTGCAGTGCTTTATCCTCCACTCATGATCACCCTTTGCCAGGTTGTTCCTCAATTTTATTTTCCTGAGACACACGAAGTTCTCTCTGGGGGGCTTTCTGCATTTGGCTTAAAAATGCATTTAAAGTCTACATTTGTGTGTAACGAGTCTTCCAGATAGTTTTTAATTTATGTTACAGGTACACATGCCTCATTGTACTCATATTAGAACTTTATGAAATGATCTAGTTTGTTGATTCTCTAACTTGAGTTCTTTACTACATGGAGAAAACAGTTAAGAGAAAACAACATGTAAGTGGCATAAAAATATAACAAGAGATAACTATTCTTGCAAACCCCAGTATTTTCCATTGCTGTTTCTCCAGTTAGGGACCACATGCACAGAGACAGTCCCTGTCATACCTGCCCACTATCCCTACTTCTGTAGGTTTGATAAACAATCAAAACCAAAAAGGTTGCATCTAGCCAGAAGTTCACGAAAAGTACCCACAAACACACATAAGTGCATACAATCACTCACTTAACTTATATGCACTTTTTAATGATAATATTCACTGTGAGCATGAGTTCTTGCCATAATATAAATTATTCTAACTTTTTGGATAAAAATTGCAATACTAATGTCATATGCTATAACATAATGCTAGATTATGCTTATACTCTTTAACTTAAGATAATTTCATTACTGTATATGGACTCAACAGTGGTATTTAGTTGACTGAGCTGATTGGGTTGAGAATTTAGAGAAAGTTTTCCAGAATTGCATTTTTGCATGACAATAGTTAGAGGCTGAACAGAGAAAGAAAATCCAGCAAATATACTGAGGAGAGGTCACAAAGTAGGAAGGAAACTGGGGCAGAGTGTGTGTCTTAGGAATCAAGGAAATAAACTGTTTCAAGGAAAATGTGACTTTGAATTTAACTAAGTGATTGGTAAAAATACAGACAAAGAACAGATCTGGGATGTGGCAACAGGGAGACTCTTGGTGACCTTGAAAATTGAAGATGTTAGCTAGAGAAGATTCTGATATGATGACTATACAAATGTTCAAACTCTTTAAGGTTTTACATTAAATGTATGCAAGTTCTTGCACACTAAATATATACCACAATTTTAAAATTACCAAAAAAAAGGACAATAGGAAATAAGAAGTGAATGCATTGATGTGGGCAACTGCTCTTGCTGGGAACATGGGTAGTGAATGATATAGCAACACAAGTAGGACACTAAGTCCAAACAGTTCTTTAATTGACACCACTATGAGCGATAAATTGATTATGCAGGAAAGAGGGAACAATTCCAGGAAATAATTCCAGAATATAAAAACAGTGATGGGATCTACGTCCTTGAGCAAGGGTTGGCTCTTCCCTTCAGCCTTTCACATTTGCAATTGGAAGGATGCCAGAGAATTAAACGCCAATGAAAAGAGGTTCATAGCTATTGTAGTGAGTTACTTTTTGTCTCTTTTTGTGTTCCTACAGAAACAGGAAATGAGAATCCCAGTTTAGGAAAAGTGGGAGTGGAGGCAGTAGCTTGAAGATTTGAAGAGAGAAGAGTAAGGGTAAAATGATCACATTAGGAACTAAGGAAGCTTATTTACAAGGATGATGGAGTAAAATTCTCTTGTCCTAATGACTATGCTTTTTGGTACCTGAATGTTAATAAAACCAGTCAGCAAGGCTGTGCATTGATTGCAGCCATGCTTAAGGTACTAAGTTATAGACACAGAATAAGTGGCTGGTTGGATTTAACTAGCATTAGGGTTTTGTTAGGAAAACACAAGAGAATTAAAGTATTTGCAAGGGAATGATTATGCAGACAGGCTATAAGGCTAAGAGAAAATAAGAGGAAGGATGGAAGAAAAGCAGGAAGGAGGTCATGGTACAGAATGTATCATCCATGTGTGTACCAAAGTCTCCAGACTTGGTAGAAGGTAAAGACATAAGGTGGGGGATAAAGCCATCAGTGAACAAAGTGATGGAGAGACAGCTGTGTGGTGCTTTTTTCACTGATTTCTACAAATCCTATTTCTTTTCTTTGTTTGTTTGTTTTTGTTTTCTTCTGGTACCAGAAATCGAACTCATGACCTTGCGCTTGCCAGGCAGGTGCAATGCCACTGAGCTAAATCCCCAGCCCCTACAAATCCTGTTTCTGAAGTGTATTTTACAATAAGGAGGATGTAACATAAAAATCAAGCTACAAAGCATGAAGGTCCCATCCTCCTATCTTTTCGACAGAGAATGGGTTAGGGTTTGGCTGCATCTGGTAGCTGTTTGTGGTCTGCTCATTTCTGGCCTGGCCAGAGTCCAGTCTGCTTCACACACCGGCTTTTCATGCAGATGTAGCAGGGCTCAAAACCACCACGAGTGTCTGCACTGAAGCTGGTGCCAGCTGAGACCAGCAGAGCTCCCTACCCCACTGTTCTGATCTCCCCACGAAAATCTGGGACAAACTATTCATCATGTAAAATAGGGCGGCACCTCTTCATCGCTCAAAACTTGTCTCACTGTGGACACCTTAGGACATAGTTTCTCACTACTGTCATAGAGTAGATGATCTGAGTATATTTGATCACTCTCGAATACACCCAGAGCTTCCTTCAGTCCCAGTTATAGTTGCAAATTATTTAGCAAATTTGTCTTCTGTGTTTCCAGAAACTAAGAAATCCTTATTACAGTTTGTAAGTGCCATTCTTGGTACAGTAGCCTTGAACATCTGCTGGTTGTTTCTGGACAGGGAATTACGGGGAGAGTGGAATGGACGCTTTCAAAGAGCTGGCTGCGCAGGAAGGCCTCTGCATCGCCCACTCGGATAAAATCTACAGCAATGCTGGGGAGAAGAGCTTCGACCGCCTCCTGCGCAAGCTCCGGGAGCGGCTTCCCAAGGCCAGGGTGGTGGTCTGCTTCTGCGAAGGCATGACGGTGCGGGGGCTCCTGAGTGCCATGCGGCGCCTCGGTGTGGTGGGCGAGTTCTCACTCATTGGCAGGTAAATCTCTCCCTCTCTGTCTCTCTCTGTCTGTCTCTCCCTCTCCCCTCGCTCTTTTCTTACACATATGTGATTGCTTTATACAAAAATCAGATTTTTTGACTCGAAAATGGGCTAGACACACAGTGCTAAGTCAAGCGTTGCTTCTGGGTCTCATAGAGAGTGCGGCGACTGGCAGCTTCCTGAAAGAAAGACAAGAACAGCTCTAGTGACAACAAGCTGATGAGATTTTCGGAAAAAAGATGGGGAAGTTGTTTGCTAGAGGCATCTTGTCCTGGAGAATGATTCTTTGTAATTTACTTCCCCCACCTCCCAGTGAATGCTCATGTCTTCGTATTTCCCCAGCTAAGAAATCTTAATAGACATTGGTGAGTGGGGGGCAGAGGTGAAAATGGCAAATCTATGTTAAAATTTGAAATTCAGCTAGTTGGCCAAGTGCAAGTGCATTAGACTTTGGAATTTGATGGTTTAATCTCTTGTCACACTCATGGACAGGCTCACTATGAAGATTTCAGTGTGTGGTTTCTGTAGTGCTGGGTTCCCAAGTGCTGCTGTCTTTCTACATGAGGTCTACTTACCTGAGAAAAGCTTGTCGGTACCATTTTATTTTTCATGAGTTTTTGGTCTAAGAGGCATCTTCATACTTTGCCACCTTCTAATATCGCATAAAAGAACTTCTCAGTTCTTCCAAGGAGCACACTGAGATTGTTTGCACGAGGGCTCTACTGAACCTCCACACTCCCACACTCATCTTCCAGGTCCCAGTGTCCCCTCTTATCTCCTTCACTGGCTGGAGTACATCATGTTGGAGAATCTCCTCTGAAGAATCTCCTCAATGCCCCCTCTTCTCTTGGAAGCTGGGTTGTATATTGTTACATTCTCCATGGACTTTCTCTTCTTTCTGGTGCTTGTAGTAAAGTCTGTCGTAGTTGTCTCAGTTTTCTCTCATAGCTGAGACAAAATATTTGACACTTACAGTTAAAGGGGGAAAGATTTATTTAGCTCACAGTTTGTGGAGGTTTCCATAATCGGTTGGCTCCAAGGCAGGGTGGCTTGGCAGAGGGGCAAACTGTCATGTCAGCAGAAGACAGCAAAAGCAACAAGAGACTTTAATAGTGTCTTTCTGCCCCTTTATCTTATCCAAACTGCTGGGATTAGAGTGCTGCCACACTAATCAATGTGCTGATTAAATCCCAGCATCACACACTCTAGATTCAGCCACCTCTGAAAAAGCCCTGTCACTGCATAAGGCTTTTGGCATAAACCATAACTGGCAGTAAAGTTAATCTCATTATCATCTGGAACTAGAGGCATGTAATAGATCAACAACTTTTGAGTCGTAAGTAAGATAGAAATAAAACAAAGAAATAAAAGCGAACAAGAAGATACTCTCTAGGAATGAGGAGATGTGGCAGCAAGGTCAATTTATAATTCAAGATTAAGAAAATGTTTGAATTTAGGGGAGATTGACACACTGGTGTCCGAGTCATTTTGGCTTTTCTTCTACATGATACATTTGTATGGAGCCATTGGACATGTTCAGAAGACAAGTCCTTTAAGAAGAAGTATTTGAAGAAGAAATGATATTTCTTTCAGGAGTGAAAAGGATGGAAGCAGCATTGTGAAGTGTTACTTGGAATACTGTTCTTAATATATGCACTAGGACAGATGGTGCGCAGATATCCTCTCCTTTTGATTGCTTTTGTGAAGTGACTGCTTTTATGAAGGTTGCTTGCTTAAGAAATCTTGTGTTTATCTTTTTCAAAACAACAATACTCCATTTTGCAGAGTTTATCCTCCTTAAAGCCCTCTGAGGCTATATACCTTAGTTCTGAAGACTCTGAATAGATGTGATACATATGTAAGCTTTGGGGTATATAGATTGCCTATTTATGAAATATAATTATACAAAATGCTGCTAAGTTATTGGAGTGTAAAGAATCCATTCCAACATCATTATTTAAAAACCAGGCAAGGATGACAATGGTGTACATCCCTCTGGCTCTTTCTTACCCACTAGTACAAGGCAACCAAACTCACAGAAGTGCTTATGAGGTTCTCACATGTGCTTATTCCCGAAGAGATGCCCATATATGATGTCTAGTTTTTAAATTCCTGTCTCCTCCACATCTGCTGTGTACTATGAACACATCCTAGGGCACCACTGCCACTGCAGCTTCCAAAAACATATCTCCTCATACCAGTGGCTACAGCCACTGATGCATGAAGTCCTTGCCATGCCAAAGCTATACCATACTCTGTGCCAAGGGAAGGGGTCGTCTGTCTGTTTTGCTGAGCTGTTTGCCATGAAGGTCTGTAAAAGTGTGTTGGCTTCTACAGTATTTCCATATTTTAAAGGATTTTGAAGGGAGCATCCTTTTCATGTTTCTTTTTTTTTCTTTGTTCACATTTTTGTCTTACTTCTCTATGATCCAGGTAAGAGTCCACAGGGAGCTGAGCTGGGGGATCAAGCCAAGTAGCGACATTATACATTTAGAATTAGCTTTCTTTTCTCTTCAGGTGATGATTCATTTTTAGCCTCTGCCTTCTTTTTTGGGGGATGAATTCTAACCTAAATTCTGCTTTGTTACTTAGGCTAATGGGTGTTTCTTGGGACTGGTTCACCCATTTCAGGAGATGTCCGAATGTTTCCAATTTCACCTCAAACTGCAACTTTCAGCGTAATGCTGTCAAATATGTTTTCTCTTCCAAATGACAAACTCCTTTGAGGTCAAGCAAAAATATACCCAGACTTTGACAGCTATTACCATTTCTACTACACTCATCTGGTCTAATCCAGGATTCTCTCACTTTACCTATTGCAGTAACTGCCTTGCTGACTTTTAGCCCAGCTAGCCATCTATTTTTAACATTAAAGACAAAATGATCCGTTAAAAATTTAAGTCAGATAATGTTATTCCCTGTCTTTCATGCTCAATATCTTAAATGACTTCTAATTTCTTTCATAACAGAGTCTTTGGAAAAGCCACACATTCTGCACTGGGACTGAGGTGCTTAAACAAATGCTGCTTCATTTAACATCGGGGTTGCCGCCTAATAAATTTATCCTATGTTGAAAATATGATTAAGTCAGAAATGCACCGAATACATCTAATCTAAGAAATATGGTAACCTAATAATGCTTTCTTACCTCAGTGGGAGCTTCACAAGAGAATTACTGTACCACACATTGCTAGCCTTGATACTACACTTGATCTTAGCCAAAGCCTGAGGAGCAATTGCTGTTAGCCTTGAAAAGATCAAAACCTTAAATTCCAAGTACTGTTCCTAATGAATATGTCACCTTTCATTATCATAAAGTTTAAAAAATTTTTAAAAATTGAAGCATTGTCAATTGGAAACTGTCCGTCCTGGAATAATGAACTCTAAAGATAAAAACAGAATTTTAAAAAGGAAATTCTCAGAAATAATAACACATTTATGCTATATTTAAAGAATGTTGGATAATGGAAAATTAAAGCAAAGCAAAACAGGTCATGGGCCAAGGGTTCTCACTCGACAGTGCAGCAATCATATGGTCTTATTTATTTAATGATTTATTTTTGAGTCTTTTTTCCTATAAAAAGATAAGATTTGGCTCCAGATCACCTTTTAGAATTTTTTTTACAGTCATAGAATTTACAATATATTAAAGCCACATGACTAAGCTATGATTCATTGAATATATCCAGAGATTTATTTTCTGTAATGCTAGTCATGAATTTGGACTGATCAATTTACATTTCCTCATCAGTCCACTGTCAAACCCTGCATTCACTGAGTAAACTGAATGTTTTAATCTGTGGTCCTGGAATACATCTAGCAGACTTACAGGAGAATCAAAGCTCTGACTTTGAACAAACTGCCATGACAGTCTCACCAAGAAAGCCAACTAGTCATTTCTTCTTGGCTTTATTAAATTACCATTTTTCTCTGAAAGAGTGAAAAACATCATATTACAACAATGCATACATACCCATATTTATAACAATAGAAATTGTAATAGCTAAATCTTGGAAGTGGCTTATAATAGCTTATGAATTTACAATAGCTAATCTACTTATAATAGCTAATCTACTTATAATAGCTAAAGCTATGTCTGTCAACAGATGACTGGACAAAGAAAATGTGTTTCTTATACACAAGAAGTATGACTCTGCCATAAAGAAGGATAAACTGGAGCCATCTGTAGGAAAATGGATGAACCTTGAGACCATAATTTTAAGTGAAATAACTAACACACAAACTTAAATATCACTTCATTTCTCTTATATGAGAAACAAAAAAATAAATAAATTGTAGAACAGCATAAAAGCTAATAGTAAGTAGGGACATAAATGTTTTGCCAATGGGAAGGGGACCAAGAGTTGGAGGGAGGGAACGGAGAGGAAAGAGATGACAAAAGAATTCAAATGTGTTATAGACATGTGCCAACTCCTCAGAAAAATGTAATCATATTGAAAGCATGTACTAATAAAATAATTACCAGTTTGTGATGCTTCTCAGAATTATGATTATCATATCCACAATGATAATTTTAATGATGATAGTGATACAGCTATAGTTACTATCTAAGACTTACTATATGACAGGCATTATTCTAAGCATTTTTAGTATATAAACCACTTAATTGTCACTACCATGTGATAAAGAAGGTAGTGACATTCTGCTTCTTTTGATGTATGGAGAAGTAAAGTGACTTCTCAAAATGTCACAAAGCCAGAGCTGGGATCTGGACTTCAGCACTGAGGATTTAGAATCTGTGTTCTTAATCAGTAAGTCAGCTTGTGTGTCAAGCTATGACTGTTGTGTTTAAGGGATGTTGTCATTAACTTAACTTACTTTCAGTTTTCTATGTCTTCTAGAAATTTATTTCATTGTTCAGATTCACTTCGGGAAAACTAGCTGAAGTACCTGTATAGCAGGAGAAAATTCTTGTACATTTCTATTATTCTTGATTTCTTTGAATCCTTTTTATTTATCTTCTAGTACTTTAAGTGCTGA